AATTGCAGCATTTGGGTGCGATTTACTTGGGACAAAATCAACTTTCAGGATCTCTTCCTGACTGTTTAGGGAACGTCACTTCCCTTAGAGAGATTCATATGTATTCCAATAAATTCAGTTCCAATATACCAACAAGCTTAGGAAATCTTAAAGATCTAATGGTTCTTAACTTGTCATCAAATAACATGGTTGGTTCTTTACCTCCGGAAATTGGATATCTAAAAGCAGTGACATATATGGATCTGTCAATGAATCAATTCACAAATGGAATTCCTAGAGAAATAGGAGGATTGCAAAATCTGGAGATCCTTTCTTTGAGACACAATAAGTTGCAAGGATCTATACCTGACTCATTCAGCAACATGGTAAGTTTGGGATACCTAGACATTTCACATAATAATATATCGGGAACTATACCCATGTCTTTGGAGAAACTACAATACCTCAAGTATTTCAATGTTTCTGTCAACAAATTGTATGGTGAAATACCCTCAGGGGGTCCTTTCAAGAACCTCTCGAGTCAGTTTTTCATCAGCAATGAAGCATTGTGTGGTTTGTCAAGGTTTAGTGTCCCGCCATGCCCCACTTCATCAAGGCATAGATCAAATAGGAAAAGATTGCTACTTCTATTTCTTTTGCTAGGAATAGCACTTGTATTAGTTCCTATCGCCTTTCTGTTCCTATGGATAAGGTATAGAAGAGGTAAAAGGTCTCCACAACGAGCTGATTCATTGTCTAACACAACAGCAGAAAGAATTTCGTACTATGAACTGCTCCATGCAACTGATTCGCTTAGCGAGAGTAATCTGATTGGTTCTGGAAGTTTTGGCTCTGTCTACAAAGGCGTTCTCAGAAGTGAAACTGCCATTGCAGTTAAAGTGTTCAATCTGCAACTGGAAGCGGCATTCAAGAGTTTTGATACAGAATGTGAAGTTTTGCGCAGCCTTCGCCACAGGAATCTCGTGAAAGTCATCACTAGTTGCTCCAACCTGGATTTTAAGGCTTTAGTTCTCGAGTATATGCCTAATGGAAGTCTTGAAAAGTATTTGTATTCGCACAACTACTTCCTAGACATCAGGCAGAGACTAAGCATTATGACAGATGTGGCATGTGCATTGGAATATCTCCATCATGGGTGCTCGTTACCCGTGATACACTGTGATATAAAACCTAGTAACGTCTTGCTGGATGAGAATATGGTCGCCCACCTAAGCGACTTTGGTATTTCAAAACTGCTTGGTGAAGATGAGAGCGATTTATACACTAAAACCTTAGCAACATTTGGCTATATAGCACCGGGTATGTCTCTTTGTTTTTCCTAATTTGAACATTGATTTTTTCTCTTTTTCTTTTTTTTTTCCAAATCAAGAAAGTATATATGGCATCTTCAAATTAATTATTTGACTGTAGAGTATGGACTGGATGGACTGGTGTCAATAAAATGTGATGTCTACAGTTACGGGATTATGTTGCTGGAAACTTTTACCAGGAGAAAGCCTAGTGAGTTTGAGGGAGATCTTAACTTGAAGCAATGGGTGAGTTATTCACTTCCAGAGGCAGTAATGAACGTTATAGATGCCAATTTGGTAACACCAATGGATCATCGCTTACAGAAGAAGCTAGATGTTGTTGCATCAATCATGAAAGTGGCATTAGATTGTTGTGTTGAATCTCCGGCAACAAGGACAAACATGAAAGATCTTGTAGGGATGCTACAGAAGATCAAGATTCAACTTCTTGCATGCTGAGCATGTTCTCTGAATCTCTCGTTTCGAATCGATCACTTTTTTTGTTTTGTTTTAGCACTTTGATTCTGTTTTCAGAAATGCTAGTTGGTTGCAATAAATGACTCTGTTTTCTCTTAAAAACTAAAACCAATTGACCCTCTCGAAAATCTTGAAGCAGAATGATCTTAGTTTTTGTAAATTGTTAGAGGAATAAACTATATGAATACAAATAGGCAAAAAATGCATTCATGCCAGACATGAAGAAGGGTCTCATCCAAGGTTGTAACTTGTAATGCAGGCAAACTACAGAAACATCAATGACTGAATCGACGACTCAAAATCGTACTTAAGACTTGGTAGAAAACACAAAATAATTTGCAGATATTCATTGAGGCAAAACGTCAAACACGTTGTGGGCAACACATCATGCAGTAAGTTACACATTCATATATTAATTGCTTTATCAGTGTCTTGAAAACAATGGATAGATTTCATACCTGAGACCTGACTGAGTGCTTCAAACAATAAAATCATTTGCTAAAATCAACAAATAACCACATTTCAGCTCTTGCCGTTGAAAAATAATTCAAAGTGTTCCTCTTGAATTTTTGATAAAGGGAAAAATATATTTATACTATGGTAAATAATATCATTCATAATACTTTTTTTAACATTCTTGTCTCGTCGTCCAAAAACTATAACATATATGTCATTTAGTTTAATCATTATAATAATACATAAATTTACACTTTAATTTAACTTTAACAAACATTTATATCCTTCAATATTTAATATGTATAAATAAATTATTTAAACTTATATAATGTTAAACAAGTACATTACATTTTATGTGTATTATGTCACATAGGACCAATGTTTATTTGTTCAGTGTTATACTAGTTTAAGTGTGTATTTGTGCACATTCGAATTAAAGGGCGTAGATGCCCAATTGATGCTAAGTTAAGAAACACATTTATGTACTATGCCTAAAAACTGATGTGTTTCAGATAAAAGGAGTTATTAACTTGGCCAAAGTCATATGCGGCCACTCAAATTTGTCCCGATTATTCATTTAGACACCTCAACTAGACGTACTACCTATTGAACACTTCAACCATTCTGAATTTGAACCATTTGAACATTTTTTCGAGAATAAACAAAAAATAGAGGA